GCCTGCAAAACAAGGTTCTCCGCGCCATTGGCAATTTTCCGAGGCGCACACCGGTCCGCGATTTACACATGGCATTCAATATCCCGCATGTATATGACTTTATAACAAAATTATGCAGGCAACAAGCAGAAGTCATACAAAATCATGAGAACGAGAATGTTCGCAAATCGGACAAGGCGAAGCCCCCCACAGAAAGTATAAGAGGCTTAAACTTGGGGGCGGTCAGGCATACGACCGTTCAAGTGACTAGACTGCCGTGGTAGCGAATAATACTGGAAGTAGGGCGTAATCTGCTGTACCGAGCCTGGACTGACAGAGGCCTTGTATATATTGTACATAAGAGTAAGAAATAAGTGTGTATTGTAAATCTATGTAAATACAGACAGTGGACATATTAAAACAGACTGACTGACAAATGACAGACCCGACCTCTTGTCAGAGAGGGCGCCCCACACAGACAAGACCGTAACTTTCAGTGAAAAGAAATATCTGATCATGAGCCCCATCTGGGGCTCGACACCAAGACAGACAGACTGACCGACCGTCAGTTGTAACATGACTTTGACTTTGGCAATGCGATATTAACTAAGGAGTGAGTGTCGTCTAAAAGACCGGTGGAAACAGCGTGCTATGTGGGATGTCCCCGCATACAGTAGGTTCTGTCCCTTCAAAATAAGGTACACAAAAACAAGTCCATGATTTATTTAAACCGTCTTGTAGTGCATACACTCATTTATCTCCTTCTCTCCCTCGCACTACATGTTTCGGCATAATAATGCCATCTTCAGGTGCTTACTTATCCACGCCAAACTAGTTCATTGCATGCCTTGTTCTCATATTAAAATAACTAAAATATGTATCTATCATATACATTGTCAAACGTTAAAAATATTAAAATTGTTCAGGATACCACATCGCTACGTCGCACCTCACTACGCCAGTCACGCCCATTCTCCTCTGTTGGAGCACTCCTTCACTATCTTGTGTGTGTTGTGCTTTTGTTGTGTCTTCCTCCTGTGACTGCGTGTGTTATACTGTTGGGCCACCTGGGTATGTGTGTGTGTTCTGTCTTCGTTTTGAGTGAGCACAACACACACAAGATAGTGAAGGAGTGCTCCAACAGAGGAGAATGGCGGG